CCAGAAGTCTCCAAGAGTATAAATGCGAGGCCCACATGTGGTCCCTGCGACCCACTGCACACAGTGACAACATTGACAGCGGTTGACAATGGGCCCAAGCCAGAAAAAAAATCCTTTGAGCTTTCTCAGTACGGCACTCCAGTAGGAAATAAACAGAAAGAAGCTGCGACACTTGAATTTTTTTTTTTTAAAGAAGGAAATCTTTGTACACATTTTGCTTTCAACAATTCTGACCATATTTAGCCCCTTTTACTTTTGGTTTCTAGAGAGCCAAGAATATAATCAATAGGCTGGGCTCTCCTGACACTGCCCAGGGAAAAGTTGTACAAAAGAACGACCATCTGTTTATCCACAGCAGTGACCAGTCCTTTCCTTCCTTTCTCCCAGATAGAATCACTGCAGTGCTATAGTGCTCTTAATTACTTTCTATTTGTGGGCTATTCTTTTTCCCATTTACAGCAATCTTTTTTGAACCTGACTGTGATTTGCACAGATTATCTGGAGCACTCTTTAAAAAAACCATAAATTCCAGGGCTTCTCACCTGGGTCACTGAATCCAAATTTCCTGGAATAAGTCCTGGGAATGAATATATATATATATATATATATTTCTTTTTTTTTTAAGCTTCCCCAGTGATTCTAATGCCCAGCACTTAATAGTCTAGTTCATTCATTCCTCTCTCCCTTCCTCCCTCCCTCTGTCCTCTTCCCTCCCTCCTTATGGGCTGCCCTCAAAATCCAAGCACCACATATAACAGTCTTGGAAGAGAGACAACATTCTTAGTTCCAAACAACCACCAATTTACAAATAACACTTTGGTTAAAAAAAAAAAAAACATGTCTGTAAACCTGGAACTTACTGTAGGACTACTGGCACTATTAAAGAATTTTAGACTCAGAAATGGAAAGATGGTTATGTTCTTTCTTCCTGAAGATATCTAGGGAAAGAAACATGTTTAAGTGCAAAGTCTCATGCTTTATGTGAAGTCTTTATTATATTCAGAATGGCCCAGACACAAAGAATTAAGACATGGCCTAAATCCTACAGACACTGAAGTTCCAAGTTAGGCTGCTAATATCTTTTCTTTTTCCAAATGAAATGACACAGATTTCCCTTAACCTTTCCTTGTATGCATCCTCCCTGCTTTTTTATTTCTATTGATTTCTATTCTCTACTGTTCCTGCAGGTTTTTCAAGCTACTCTTGGTTCACCAGCAAGGGCTATAATACCTTCAGGGCACAACTGTACTCATATACTTTATGGTTTGAAAACAGTTTGCATTGCTCTCTCTTCTTTTTTATTTTTTAGATTTTTTTTTTTTTTTTTTTTTTTTAGAGAGAGAGAGAGCGCGAGGAGGGAGGGGTGGGACAGAAGGAGAGGGAGAGAGGATCTTAAGCAGGATCCACACTATGTGCAGAGCCTGACACAAGGCTCGATCTCAGGACCCTGTGATCATGACCTGGGCCGAAATCAAGAGCCGGATGCTTCAGCAACTGAGCCACCCGTGTGCCCTATGCATCTCTCTTTAGGGGAATCTAATTTACTGCACAGGAGTGACTTAGATTAGTGGACCCAAATCTAAAGATCTAGAGATTGATATTCTGCTTCAAACAAAGCAAGTCACCTTTAGAATTCCTTTATTTTGTGGTTCTTCTGCATTTGATCTGTAGCCAATTTCCGGGATTCCTACCACAGGAAGATCAGATTCTGATTTTGATCTCAAAGTCACTCCAGTTTCCTCTCATTCTCTTCTCTCTGTCCTCCTGAAACCCCAAGTTGTGTTAGGTCATCTTCCTCCTCGTGAGTTCGTTTTTCTAGACTTTCTCTATTGCTTGCAGTTTTCAATGGAATTAGTCACACTTCTGGAAGTGTGAATTATTAGACCCATTCTTACCCTTCCCTGAATCTGTGCCCTTTGCCACACAATTCCAAGGTTCCCTCAAATAAAGCTTGACTGTCTCCCCGCCTTGGTCTGGGGCGGGGGCGCGGGGGCTGGCTTGCTATGGCCAATGCCTTCTGGGCAGTTCTGTCTCTGCTCAGTCTTCTTGCTCCCCTGCCATGGCCATAAAAGGAAACATTAGTGCAGGGGGAAGGAAGCTCAGACTCGTCCAACCTATCTATGCCTTGGAGTCACTTGGCTGAGCTCAGCCAAAGTGAGCAGAGCCGGGAAGGCCCGTCCGTCCACATAGCTTGTAAGACTGCAGGAGGCCCGTGCTTCCAAGGAGCCTGTAGGGCGTGTTCAAGCTGTAGGACTGTGAGACAGAACCAAACCATGCCTAAGGAAAGCGGCTCAGGTGGCTCAGAGTCCTTTAAGGGAAGAGGCAGGGCAGCTCCCTTCTTCCCTTGGCACTGGAACCTAAAGATGCTAACCGGTCCAGCAGAGGAGCTGTGAGTAAAATGAGGAGAAGCAGAAACTGAATTCCGGGATAGGAAGAAACCTCTCCCTCCGGGGGTCCTGAGGAGGAAATGATGCCCACCAGCAGCCCTGCTCCTACAGAAAAGCAGCTCCAGGGAACATAGCTCATCCCCCAGCAAATGGCCAATGTCCAGCAGGACCATGATTGTGGCAGAAGGAAATGCCCTCCGAATCTAGACCCAATCACCCGCATCCCTACCCTTTTAGGCTGCTAGGATTTCTTTCCTCCTGGCTTGGCTATCTGTCTCTTTAGTGGGATCCAAGAGGTTGGTCTGCATACATCAGTGACCTCTTTATTCTGTTGACTCAAAAGATAAAAAGAGATCGTCCTTATTTTTCTGAATATGGTGACGCCCACATGAACAATAAAGTAGCCCTAACTCTTCTACCTCATTCCCATGGTCAATGTAGTCAAAACTGTCCATGATTTAAGATTGTCTCTCCATGTGATGGTTCATCCCACAAGTAAGGGTTACCACCGTGAGGCCAGAGTAACGGTAAACGTGTACACAAGCCAGAGCAAAACTGCCCATTTGGTAGAAAGATCATGTTTTCTAATGCCATTTAAAAAAAAGAAGAAGAAGAATAGGTCAGAGAGCTAATTTGATCCTATTTTCTAAATCCTTGCTGTCTTCCATCTATAATACCCATGGGATGAAATGAATGAACGTGTGAGGCTCAGCGAGAAAAGATACTCAGGGTTTGAAAAAATGACTTGAAACAACATTTTCTGCCCATCTATACACTGCCTCCCTTCCCATCCAAAGTGGTGAACACTGTGCTCAAGCCACTTGGCTCCTAGGATTTTTGCCAGGTTAGCCTGGAGAATAATCTTCCAGGCTTCCTCTGCCCAGCAGAGCTCCCCTGATATGTGGTGTACCCCTCCCCAATTTTTCATCCAACAAATAGTTGTGGAGCTTTCTGCTTTGCACCAGATCTGTCTGTCGTGATCATGTAAAAGTAGTAAGAAAGAGACTGGAAAATGATGGACCTTTTAACAAGAGTAAAGACAAAGTGATGCTGCTGTATGATATCAACCATCACTACAGCCGAAAGCACCAGGGACTTGCCCCCTTGGAGACTTCCTATAAAACCACTTCTCCCAGTGGCCTTTTCCTCCTCCACTTACGGCCAACATTTTCAATAATCCTTGGCCCCCTCATCTTGTCTAAGACGCGGTCAGCTGAGCCATTTGGGAGGAGAGGAATCTAGAGGCTCAGGACTCATGACTTCATCCTGGCCCCTTCCCTTTCTACCTTCTGGGCTTCTGATGGGAAGACCTTTCCCACTTTCTAGAAGTTCTTGTCCTCACGAGCTTGATGCTATTATTTCCAGGACTAAGATTTTCTTCTTCTAATGATATATAGAGATCTATCTATCCAAAGGGGCTGGTAATAGTTTAGCTTTTACCCACGCGTGCTAAAAAAAAGTGTGTGTGTGCATATACACATGTATGTGTATATTCACATACATGTATATGTGTATGTCTATGCACAGATGCACAGATGCACATCACATACAAACTTTTTCTTAGCTAGTTTCCCCCACAAGCAAAACTTAGCTAAGCTGCTCTTGAGAACTTTAAGGGACATTAGGGTCTAAGCAAATAGGGACTCAGGCCTTCAGGGCTCACGGCCAATTCGTTTTTCCCTCCAGTGACACTACTGGAGTCCCCAGGGACTCACACAGTCCTCATTCACGCCTGGGTCTGAAGGCTGGTAGTGAGGTAGCTCTTACCCTTTATATTCTAAAAGAGCTTGCACCTCAGGCGAAAGAGATGAGGCTCTCGAGGCTGACATTTGAGGCGGGGTTTGGTGGAATGGGGCGGAGCAGGAGATTTGGTTCTAAGGCATCTCTGATCACCACCTTCCACCCTCATCCCAGATCTCTGGCTAGGTGTCCTGGGACTTGGGACCTGGGATGATGACAGTTTGCAAGTGCAAACCTATATTTTTGCTCCTATGTGAGCCTGGCCACGGGCAGGTCACTTGTCTCCCAGGTGGAAGTGTTCAGAACCCGGGGGAAAACCATAAAGGAACCCAACTCACCCTCTGAGCCGGCCAAACAGACACTACAAAGCAAGGTTCTAGAGCGCAGGCACCTAACTCACGGTGGTGCCCTCCTTATTCAGCCCTTCTATGATTCTAAGACCCCCGGCTACAGTTCAGTTTCCCCACTTCAGATTTGATCAAATGTAGGCAACAGACCCACTGTAGCAGCAAGGACAGCCAACAGCCTGACTGGTAGGAGGAGAAAGACAAAAGCTGGTGGAAGAACTCAAAAGGTGGGTGTTCAGCGAAGGGGCAAGCTGCTTCCAACAGCTCCCTGCTCCAGGAGAACGTCACTCTACCGAAGGTCAGTCCAGTACAATAATTCGTACTCAGAGTAGTAACCCGGGGTTCTCTGGAAAAGTCTATAAAGGATATCAATGTACTCTGTTTAGGAAGACAAGTCCCAAGCTCTGGGCAAAGGGGTCAGCACCGAGAAGGGTCCCCTAGAGGACAGCAGTGGTCACTTGCACTGTAAGACCCCAGCAGGGGATGGGGATGGGGGTCAGGGTGGGGGGCGCTGGGAACCACCTACCTCTGAATGTTATCTTCCAGTTGTTTGACTCTGAACTCATCCTCCTCAGACTGCCGCCTCCTGGCTTCCTCCTCTTCGGCAGTTCCAGCCGGGATACCCTGCAGCAGCCATTTTTCCCGGAGCACTTTGGACTGTGGGAATGAGGGAAGAGAACATACTAGATGATACCCTTCAGTCCACAGCATGAGCTCCGCCCCTCATCAGTGTCCACCTGGATTGCTACCTTCGCCTCCTCACTAACTTGGCTCCTGACTTCCCTCGGGCCCAGCTCCTAGAGAGCCACCAGAGGGGTTTATTTCTGCATTTTCTACTATAAAAAGCTGTTGAAAACATACAGGACAACAGAAGAAGCAATATAATGAATGCCAGTGTAACCCATCTAGCTTCACAATGATACAGTCCGCCACATTTTCCCATATTTTTTCACCAGCGCATTTTAAAAGAAATAACAAACATGGGCAGCCCCGGTGGCTCAGCAGTTTAGTGCCTGCCTTCAGCCCGGGGTGTGATCCTGGAGACCCGGGATCGAGTCCCACATTGGGCTCCCTGCATAGAGCCTGCTTCTCCCTCTGCCTGTGTCTCTGCCTCTCTCTCTGTGTGTGTCTCAAATAAATAAATAATTAAATAAATAAATAAATAAAATCTTTAAAAAAAAGTTTTTTTAAGAAATAACAAATATCATGACATTTCACCCATAACTATTTCAGTATGAATCTCTAAAACATAGAGGGCATTTTGCTGTGCAAGTACAATTCCATTATATAATTCCTTAAGATCACCCACTATCGAGTCCATCTTAAAATGCTTTATAAAAATTACGTTATGCTTCTTAGAAGCTTTTTAATAATTCCCAACCATCCTCAGCAGTGGTCTCCAAATGGTATTAAAATCATGTACCGGGCAGCCCAGGTGGCTCAGTGGTTTAGCGCCTGCCTTCAGCCCAGGCCCTAATCCTGGAGACCCAGGATCGAGTCCTATGTCGGGCTCCCTACATGGAGCCTGCTTCTCCCTCTACCTGTGTCTCTGCCTCTCTTTCTCTCTCTTTCTCTGTGTCTCTCATGAATAAATAAATAAATAAAATCTTAAAAAATTAAAATAAAAGAAATAAAATAAAAGAAAAGAAAAGAAAAGAAAAGAAAAGAAAAGAAAAGAAAATCATACACCCCATTTGCGCCACTGTACTAACATATTGTGGAGTGAAATAAAAAGGTGGGTTTTTTTTTCCCCTTTTTAGTGGGCTCCACACTAGGCGTGAAGCCCAACATGGGGCTTGAACTCTCGACCCTAAGATCAAGACCTGAGCTGAGATCAAGAGTTAGACGCTTAACTGACTGAGTCACCCAGGCACCCCCAAATAAAAAGGTTTTGAGTTTCAGGTCAATAGCTTGGAGGGAGCGATTACTGCTTTGACAAGGGAAATCAAAACAGCATAAAAGAAGGCTTGCTGAAACTCTCTAAAACAAAGAGCAAGGCAAGGAAGGCGTGAGAGGGGATTTTTTTTTTTTTTTTTTTTTGGATTTCCATTACATAGTCCCTAGATGGCAGACAGTGGCTATTGGATATTTGCAGAGGCCTGACCCTGGGCATCACAGCTGAGCATACCCTGGGCAGGTTGGGGGTCATGGGAATGGAGTACATAAGGATGCACCACCGAGTCGGCCAGAAGCAGGGCATGTGGCCAGTTTCAGCCTGGTCCCATAGGGCTATAAAGCCAGTCCACATAGAGTAAGCATGGAGTAAGCACTGGGTTTGCTGGTTGCCGGCCTCACCTAGATCAGAATCTGGTTTGACCTCATCAGACAGGCTGAGCAAGGCAAAGGAAAGGGAGCCCTTATAATGGCTAAGAGCCAGGTTACCCAATTAAACACGATTTACAGAAATGAGAGAGTGGAATCTGTCTGACATTGTGGACACAGAATTCACTCACTTCAGTTTCCTTTCTGTAGCTCTTATAAGCAACAGATAGACAATTCGAGAGGATACCATTTTTCTTGAGATTAGGAAATAAGAGCTACTTATTATGAAGCTATAAAATGAGTTACTAAAAATTACATTTAGTTATAGTAAGTTAGAATTCATTAACGGTTCTGATTCACCATCCCAACAGAGAAATCCAGCGGCCACACAGGACTATGAAGCCCCTGCTGGATGTACAGCAGCAAGTCCCAATGGCTGGAATTCCTACACTTCTGAACAGAGTTTTTGTTAGCAACACATCAGGGTGGTGTCCAGGTAGCCATGGTTCTCACTGGTGTTATTCTTGGTTTTTAATTATAACTCACTGGTGGAGGTCTGTTTGGTTACTCGGGTTACTCTTACCAGTGCATAGAGAAGCGTATTTATAGCACTTGACCTGTGGCTTTCCATTAATCAAAGATGTGAGTTTGTTCATTTGTAAGTTATTCCTGACTCTATGCTAACGTGATTGTAGGCAGGAACTACCCTCACCCCAACAGATTTAAACAGCTATACATCATTGGTAACATGGTGCCTGTGAGTGTATTTACAACTACCACTACGGATAGTGTAAAAAAAAAAAGTATTTTAAAAATCTCTAGAGCAGGGGATCCCTGGATGGCTCAGCGGTTTAGTGCCTGCCTTGGACCCAGGGCCTGATCCTGGAGATCCAGGATTGAGTCCCATGTCAGGCTTCCTGCATGGAGCCTGCTTCTCCCTCTGCCTGTGTCCCTGCCTCTCTCTCTCTCTCTCTCTCTCTCTCTCTCTCTCTGTGTGTGTGTCTCTCATGAATAAATAAATAAACTCTTTAAAAAAATAAAAATCTCTAGAGCATTGTTTAATAATATAAAATCATGTGTAGGGATCCCTGGGTGGCGCAGCGGTTTGGCGCCTGCCTTTGGCCCAGGGCGCGATCCTGGAGACCCGGGATCGAATCCCACGTCGGGCTCCCGGTGCATGGAGCCTGCTTCTCCCTCTGCCTGTGTCTCTGCCTCTCTCTCTCTCTCTGTGACTATCATAAATAAATAAAAATGTAAAAAAATATTTAAAAAAAAAATCATGTGTAAAAGCTCATGGTACAATTTGTTTACATTGGTTGCTCTTTCTTATGGGCTAAATTATGGCCCTCATCCCCCATCAATTCCTATGCTGAAGTCCTAACCCCATAATGTGCTTGTGTTTGGAAATAGGGTCTTTTAAGGTTAAATGAAGTCATTGGGATGGGCTCTAACCCAGCATAACTGGTGTCCTTAGAAGAAGTGGAGCTCAGGACACAGACACGCACAGAAAGAAAACCATGTAACGACACCAGAGGAAGACAGCCATCTCCAATCCAAGGAGAGAGGACCAGAAGAAGATAACCCTACTGCCACCTTGATGTCGGACATCTAGCCTCCAGAATGATGAGAACACAATTTCTGTTGTGTAAGCCACTGTATTTGTTACAGCAGCCCTAGCAAACTACGAATTCTCCAAAGCTCTGTCCCAGAGATGCTTCTCTCCACTGTAAAGTTAAATTGGTTTCTCTTCCTAAGTGGGCTACCAGGAAAAAAATCTGAAACCACTGTTCTCCGCTCAAAATTCCGCAGACATCACGCTCACACAGAGTGGGAGGCTGGGTCAAGCGGTGGTTAACAGCCTGAGTTCTGGAATCAGTCTTCCACTTACTAGCTGTGTGACCTCAGACAGTCTCATGGACCTCACCATGCCTCAGTTTTCTCATCTGTAAAATGGACATGACGACAGAGCCCCGTCCAGGCTTGTCCTGAGAACTGAATAAGTTCATAGGCTAAAAGTGCCGAACCCACACTTAGTTCCAGAGAAATGCTAATTATTGTTGCTCATGCTATTCCCCTGGCCTTTCCTCCCTTCATCTGAGAAAGTGCAGGTAAAATGTCACCTGGAAGCCTTCCCCCCACCAGGCGGCAGGATCCACAGGCTCTCTGCCCTGTGTCATCTAGCAGAGAACATACTCCAGTACGCTCTGGAGTATTTCACACTGTTCTCCAATTCTTTCTTTCTGTGTCTCTCCCCCTCAACACCCCCAGTTCCTCAAAGGCTGGGACTGTTCTTCATTCGCCTTTGGATTTCATTGCTGCACCTAGCCCAGTATCAGGGAATGGATGAATAAATGGGTGAACTGGAAAATCTTGACTTTCCGTCACTCTAATTACTCGGGAGAGGGTGTGTGTCACACTTCCACAGTGCTCCCTGAGCTGAAATGTTTGATACTCCCCCAGTTCAACCCAGAGAGGGTAAAAACCCTATTAGGATTTTGGGAGACAGATCTACTGGCTACCTCGGTCTTGGTGTGTGGACCCTTCTGGAAAAGCAGCCATGGCACAGACCAAGCTTTCTCTGCCCCAGCAGGGATGCTCTGCAGCTGGGGCTTCTTGAAATGTGACACCATGGCTGCTCCTGGGAATGTAGTCTCAGTTCTTCCCACTGTGCTTCCTACCACCAAGGAAAGGGTCTAGCCCCTCATTTCTGGCTGATTTAGCCCTAGCCATCCAGCAGTACTTCTGACAAAAGCAGCCTGGTGACCATGAACACCGAAAGTACATGTGCCCTTGGATCTGTCTCTTCTCTGGATAAGGCAGTGATGTCACCAAAACACCCCCAGCAGCTGGAGCCAAGAAGAGAGACTCTAACAAAACAAGACATTCACTAAAGCGTTTGGACATCACAAAAACAGAAAAGGAAAGTTGATTTTTTTTTCACTTGGCCTGAAAGTAATTCTGCTAGGGCAACCCGCCAATTCAAATACATTTACCACCAAATCCCTACCCCAGATCCCCTCCTGTTGTCTCTGAGGGCCAGCTGTGTCAGGGCCTTGTAATATAATGCACTTGCTCATTCTGATCACACACGCCCATCAAAAGCACCTGTTTCCCTATACTGTTCTGGCCCTTATTGGCTGCCTGAATGTTCCAGAGACAAGTGACAGGCAAGGCACAGCAGAAGTGAAAACTAAAAATAAAACCTTTTTTTTAAAAGATTTTATTTATTTATCCATGAGAGACACACAGAGAGAGAGAGAGAGAGACAGACAGACAGACACAGGCAGAGGGAGAAGCAGGCTCCATGCAGAGAGCCCGACGTGGGACTCGATCCCGGGTCTCCAGGATCAGGTCCTGGGCTGAAGGCGGCACTAAACTGCTGAGCCAGCCGGGCT